TAACGTACCTCACAAATCCGCCTAAAGGTGAAAAAGCCTTGTCGTTCAAAGGCACGAGGATAGGCGATGCTCGAAGACCTTGGGGCAACTTAATGAAGTATTTCACACTGCTTGGTATCAGCACACCTATATCATATGTAAAATTGAGTATGTACTAAAGTAATAAAAATAAGATATTTAAACATTAATAATATGCTAATTGTTCTAACCATTTGCGTCATATCTATATTTGCGTAACAGCGACTGCATATTTGGGTTCTGCATGTTGGATAAGACCACGACAGCACACGGCTGTAAATTGGACAATCACAGAAAATATTATTAAAAATGTGCTTAGCTCATGTCTTGGATGTGCCGCATGGATTTATTTTCTTACTTTGCTGGTAGTATCAGTGGGGCTGGGCTGTGTGTCGTAGTCAAAATATTCTTCAGTGTCTTGCTCTTCATATGGTTCCCGCAGTCCAATTACTTTTTCATGCGGGTTCTCTTCACTCTCAGCAGATTGAGGACGCATCCGAACTGACGTAGGCTCATAAAGATTAGGATTGATGGTCACATAGTTGATCGGCAGCATTCTCTAAAAAATACATAAACACACAAAAGTAGCGCTAGTTCAGAATTCGAGGAAACAATCTTTTGATAAAAACTCACACTTTCAGAACAAAGAATTTTCAAAAATACCACTACTATTACCCCGATATACTTCATATTCGATTCAGTTCCTCGTTAGCAATGAAGTGACCGTGTGAGCCAATCTAAGTTTTTCTATAGTTTATAAACAGAAACTTGAGTATCATAGAATATGAGAAGTATTCTTCAAATAACACGTTATGTTTGGAAAGTATGTTTTAAAAAGTACTAGAAATATTGTTAACTTGTAAAACGATGATTCTATTGTATAATCAGTAACTACACTGTAGTTGAAGAGCTTGCTATGGGACACAATATTAGAGTAAGATTTTACATAGTTATGTTAATGTAGTAGTTATGTGTTTTGGTTTATGAAACAATTTCTAATGCGTAGTAGCTGAACATGTGTGCTGCTTCACATGTGAAGTTCACAAACAACTGCATGCCAACCCTTGAAGGACACGAACTTGTCGATATTTCTTAGAACTTGACTTTATGGGGTTGATTAGTTTCTGTATTTTAAAATGTATTGATATAAGTAGGTAAGTACTAAAAAGAGTACGTCGATAATGCAACCAATAACTTGAACATAATTTACCTGCAGTTATTTTAATAGGATCATGTTCAATGCTTTTCGATTGACAAAACGTTTGTAGAGTGAACAAACTATTTGATTGGTATTTAAGTTTAAATGCATTGCTTGTTTGAATAGAAATTAATGTTAGAAGACATAATAATCTTATATTTTATTAGTCTTTTGTAAGTTTTGTGGTTCATGAAGATATCACGTAAATGTTATTGGCACTTTGCCCTGCGGCGGAAGTGGTTAAAACTTATTTCTTTTTCAGCTTCTTCGAAATATCAGCTAGTTTAAAGTGTTTTTTGTTTTTATTAACAAGACATTGAAAATAACCAGTTGCTGGAATTGTTTTCTGGATTATTTTTGTGTCCAGAACACTGTTTAGGTTGTTAGTGGAGTGTAATTTAGTTGACTACTGGTATTTTGTTATCCTTCAGCCAACAAATGAACAAACTTGTGGGTTATAGTTGTAATCTTTTTGCAGGCATTAGAGTTCATTATTTTTTAATGTTGCTTTGATTGAAATGGTTCCATCTTTGTTTGAATAGACCATATTTTCGGTACTGTTGCCATCTATGATTGTTTCTATATGAACACGTGGAACAATATCGTCAGACTGTCGGGCGCCTGCTGCTCACAGTTTATTTTCGTTTCGATACCAATCTCGCCCGTCTTTATTGCTTTCTTCTACTTGTATACTTTACTGTACACATCAATTTCCTACGTACTTAGGAGGATATTTGACGATAACGATTTAAGACAGAAAATCTTATAGGATCACAGGAAATGAATATCAGAGAGATGAACTATGGTGATTACATTTTTTCAGGTCTTAATAAGTTATCGTTTTTTTTTTTGCTAAACGTTGTGTTTACCATTTATAACTAGTTAGTATTTAGTACTCAGCTTTTAGTTAGTAGAAGCTCAAACTAAAGCGCATTGATCTTTCTTGTGGTTCTTTGGTTCGGAATTTCCGTTCAATACTTTTAGTCATATCAGCACAAAGTGGTAATCCCCAATGCAAAGATTGGCAACGTGTAAGAAAAGGAGTTATTCGTTAAAAGATTTGCCTATTTGGACTTTCCATTTGGCCAGTCGAACACGTCATCAAAAGAATTTTATTACAGTTGTAGCTGAATTTGTTGTACATATCCTGTGATAACACGCGTTTTCTGTCCTTGGATGTAATAGCTTAAAAGAATGTTGTCCTTGAGTACGAGAGAACATCTTGTTTGCGCCTAGTCCCTTTAGGCGCTCGTGGACAATTAACATAACGGGGTCAAGGCAAGCATTAGAATGAGGATCATACTTTTGTCCTTATCTATTGTATTTTATGTATTATTTATTGTAGTATTCTGTATGATATGGTGCGAATGGTGCGATGTTTTGAATTAGACTATCAGTGGCAGTTATTTTACCTAAAACCAGTAGGCACTTTTGTTAGTCTAAAAACGTCCACGTGAATGCTAAGTTTCACATTGCTGTAGGATTGTTGCTAAAGCATTACTTTAAATGTTGTTGTTTTTATTTAAATACAAATCCACGAATCTAAACTATCATCTTCCAAAAATGATGACTACTTCGTTTGTAATTGTATATTTTTTACAATAACGCTGTAATTGCAATCGGACTTTGTGACTCGTTATAATATACTTACAACAATTGTGTATGCATAGAGCGTATACATGTTTTTTGCTGTCAGAATATGTATTGTCCACAAAATATATTTGTAATGTTCACAGAGTCGTTATTTGTACAAATGTTCGTAGTCTCATTGTAGTTTATAGCACAGTGGTCGTGTTACAGAGACACCATAGGTTTTTCGAAACCGCAATTTGTTATCGAAGTGAAAAATATAAAATAGAAAATATTTGTGTGCATTATTAGTAAGTAGGACGTGCGTTGTGGTTGCGTATGTTGATAAGTGATTGTTTCAATGATGATAATGTTTGGACTTGCTTTCATTGTTCTCAAATGGCAATAGGTTCATAAGATGTAGTGCTTTTGAAGTTTCGACAGTCGTCTTTGTATAGTTAACAGTTGCTGTGGTCTCGTTTGAATGAGTTTGTGACTTGTGTGTATCATGGTTCGGAAAAAAGTTGGAAGGAAGATAAGGAGTCATCCCTCTTATTTAGTGCCTCCTCCAACAACTACATTAAGACGAAGGAGCTACACTAAGTATAAAAGGTATGAGAGGACAATTTCTTAATAGTATCCGTTGTCGGTTTGAAATTTTGTTGCCAAGGTCATTTTAATGGTTTGTTATTAACAGATTTCAAAAAAGGATGTTCTCAATGATATGTTTGTATGTTTGTGCGCTATATCATCTTGCGATTGGCTGAACTGATTTTAATGCGGTTTTCAGAAGTGTCTGTTACAATTGGGAGAAGGTTTTAGTTTATTAACCTCTTGTCTCTCTATACATGAGACACAATACAAAACACATTGTTTCGAGTAGTTTTACGTTCTGACAGTCCACAGATTAAACTGTCAAACACCAAGCGGTCACCGGTGACCGCAACCTATTGTGTCTATAATGACGGTACTCAACGAGTTAATTAATTTAAAAAAAGATTAATTACCTAATAAACGACATCAAAAAAGGACGGGGTTGAAGTGAAGTCAGTTTTCTTAAACGGAGTTTGTGAAAGAATTATACGCGTACATATTTCCAGTTACTTACAGCAATGCTTTATCTATTTTAGTTTATGTTCTTGCGGATAGGATTATCCTATTGGAATCGGTTCATATTTGATTTATTACCCCCTTCGTTTCTTTTAGGCGAAAGCACACAGATATCTGATGTTCCCTATTTCCAATGGGATGTTTTGTGAGCGATTTCGTGAGATGCATTTCCAGACGATTTACTTTTTATTGTAACCGATAGCTGGAATCGAAAGAAGTCGGTTTATGCGTAGTTTTAAAAAAATGTCGTAATAACCGTCCTAATTTAGTAGAATCCCAAAAAAACTTTATTTGGGTTTTTACAGATACTTGTTCTTCTAACAAGTATTATGACATATTCTGTTTACATCCTTGTACTTATCACTATACGCTTGAAATAAATATGTGCGACCGTTTTATGATGTTGTGAGATTATTCATAGAAATGACAATACATATTTTTTTGTAGTTACTAATCATAGCTCTGACGGCAAGGGTACTAAACTAGGAATTAAACAAACGTCAGCGAACAATGTGAATAGTTTACGGTGCTGAGTATTCATAGTAATTGTGACCTACTATTTATAGTTCGTTGTACAGTTTTATACTACATTTTTACTACTTATCGAAATTGATGAGCTATCGCATATTTTCTGCATGCCTTAGACGCTGATAGGCAACCAATAAGTGTTGGTTTACGTTGCGGTTTCAAATGTTGTCTATTAATTTTAAGTTTAACTTAGGACCATTCACTACGAATCATACTTAGATGTATAGAGTCTCGTCATGGTTTGCACCAATACCTACAGGACCTTCCGTTTACCCTCTTACATCTTATACACACAGATGCAGTCTGCTCCAAGAAGAGGACAGACTGCTCAAATGAAGCAAAGAAGTAAATGGCACTTGTCCCATCATCATTAACAGCCTATAAATGCCCACTGCTGAGCAAAGCCTCTTCTGACATGGAGAAAGTTAGAACATTAATCACCACGCTTGCTCAATGCGGGTTGGCGATTTAAAACTTATAATTAGAACTTATAAGCCCTGGTTTCCTTACGATGTTTTCCGTCTATCCGTATTTCCGTATGTTGAAACTTGAATGTGTGCTTGTTTGCTTGTTTCAGGTCAACCGGCAATTTCGCGGCTGGCGCGGCGGGTGGCGGGTGTGGGGCCCCGCGCTCCGCTCCCGCCACCCCGCTGCAGCTCGAACCACACCCTCGATCCACTAAGCATGATAAGTAAGTACTTACTCTTATTTTCTAATAGTACTTTTAAAATACATTTGTAACTGGACAGCATAATATAAATCGTCATCATCGTCATCAGCCAAATGTCTAGCAATAGTGTAACTTGGCGTAAAAAGAATTTCGGAATTTCGAAAAAAAAAGCTTTCCGGAATGATCAAATTACAAATCTTTATAGTAGTTTCCACATGGCTACAGCGGAATGCTTTGTTGATCTTGTAGCTCTAGCTAGCTCCAATAGTTGCTAACGCCTTAGAGGGATCTCTCGACTCATATCTTTCGATATTCTTGTGTAAGGTGTTGTATCCGCGGTCTTATTTGAACTTAATATTGTTTGTTATTCTTTAAACTTTATCTGTTAAACTTTAATAAGAATCAAGCATATAATATTTTTCATCTATTCTAGTTTTCACATGTAAATAACAAATCTGGTTAACGTATAAAGATTTGCATGTCCATAACGTACATGGTTGCTTAGGATGCACCGCACGTACTTAGTTATCTTTCTCCGAGAGGGTTTCTATGTAAATTGTACGCTCTTGTGGAATGGAACTGTCTCCAATGCTCAATCAAGGATGAAGTAATTTAATATGTCGCCTAATGTTACCCAATACAGTCCTGCTGACCTAGTAGCCTATACAGCAGCTACTTTTGTATAGACCAACTGGTCTCTGGCTTACTGACCCAATCCCTAAATACAATTTAGAACATAACAAGTGCTTAACAATTTCGATTGTTTTGAAATCTAAAAAAATCTAATGTTACTTTACCATGAATGCTGTCGAAAATGGGTAATATATTAGTCACAACAAGCCTTGGTTACTTAAGTGAAAACTGGAACACATGTTTCTGAAACTATTAAAAATGTACAGCTTTTATCCACGACTGCTCTTGCAGAAAAAAGCCGTCGCGATACAAATGTAACTGTCTTTGAAATCGCGGAAGTGGTTTTAAAATGTCGTGATTGCGACACTTATGAGTGAGCTGCGGCATCAAAATACTGCTATTTTGTAACATTTCAAATAACTGGGACGTTGAAAAATGGAGATATAGCTGTAACGAAGACATTAATTTGGTATATGAAAATGATGCTCATGGAGACGAGATTCTCGAAAATCTTTGTAAATTCTCTTGTCTGCCGTGCTTACAGGTATGATATGCAAACTTGTAGTGGAATTTCAAAGAAGTATACAAAGACCATGGTGTTCTAAAATTTTTGCTTTTCCCTCCGTATTTAGAATCCTACCTCGATATTTCTTCGAATCCTTGTCTTACTCGCAATTTTATCCTTATCTGGATCCACGCGTCATAGTACGCATGAGCCAATTTTTATTAAAAGACACGTTGAGTGGCAAGCGATTTTGTCTTTTATCAATAACACATTATCTACGATTATAGGATGATTAATATCATTTTGTACAGGTCAGACCATTCCTTCAGATATGTTTACGTCGTCAAAGCAATCGTTTGTAGAACGTAATTAAGAAATTATTGTTTTGCATAGTATGAAATAGTATCAGTTGTTTTGTTTAGTTCTTCGGTCTAAAATTGTAATGTGCTGATTTCTTTTGTGTTGTGTTTTTGGATAATATGGAGGCCGTGTCATTACAGGATAAGGAAAAAAGGTAATCTTTCAAATTGTACTGTAAAGACAATTATACATGATATGGCTTCATACAAATTATTTCGTCATAAACGAGTAAATCTTCAAATAACTAATATGTTGGCTTTTTGGAATGTTAGATAATTTAATCTGATTAATGGTCAACATTCCTATTCTCTGAGTTATCATATTGGGTTTATCGTACCCTTCTGGTAAACATGGTCCATTTTCGACCGCGGATGTTTACAAGATGTCGTTTTACGTCAAACCCGCAATCCTGAGTTATTTGCTAGTAATACTTATCATTTCCATGTTCATTATTAACATGTACGTCTCGTTCTAAAATGAGTTGTGTAAAAACGGAATTTTAAAAGAATTACAACAGATTAGCCCCTTTGGCGTTCTTATCCTTATCTTCGAGTTTTTTCGAACATGTAGGTTAGCTGTCAGCTATTTATACGCAATGTCATGGGTTAGATCGTCTTCTGAAACTAAATTTACTCAAAGCATGATAATCTATCAGGAGAATTGAATTTCGCCCTCTATTAAATGACATTAAAGACTCGTTAAATCGTTAATTTTTGTGTCGTGGTGGCCCGGAAGTTTAAGACGCTCGCTTCTCATGCAAAGTACCAATGTAGCTTTTTCAGAGTTGTATGTACTCTCAAGATTATTTAGACGCCACTTCCAAACGGTGAACGAGAACATCGTGAGGAAACATAGGCTCATAATATCTAATTATAGGTTAAAATTGCCAATCCGCATTGAACAAGATTGTTGATTAATACTCAAACTGTCTCGGACTGAAAAGAAGCCTTTGGTCAGCAGTGGCCACTTATAGACTGTTGATATAATGTGAAACTCTCCCACTCATTCCACATAAGTAAATAAATTGTAATCGTATTAGAATCCTAAAACGAAATTTATTATGACTCGTCGTCGAAATTTATTATGTCTGACTGCCTCGTTGGCCGAGTGGTCGCAAGTACGACTGCCGGGCAAGGGGTCTCGTGTTCGATTTCCGGGTCGGTCAAAGTATTACTGGGTTTTTTAAAATCTCAGTAGTAGCACGGAGTCTGGAAATGTGTCCGGTATATGGCAATAAGCTCACCCCCTATTATATGGAACTCATAACATAAATAGTGAAAAGTGGGTGTTACATTGTACAGTGGCATTAAGTGCCTTAATGTGTACCTCTGCCTATCCCTTCGGGGATAAAAGGTGTGATGTCATGTTATGTCTTACGTGTCTGTGATTAGATTGGCACCCAATTGTCTGCGAATCGGACAAGTCAAAGATAATTTGTGTAAGGCACAATACTTCGATCCTTAAGTAACTATGGCTCGAAAGACCTAGTTTCCAAAAAGTGGTAATCCATTTAATCTACATATTTACTGATAGTAACACCATTGGCATTGTTGTTAAGAGTCCTATGTCTCTTCCTGATTGTGTAATACAATATGTCCAAAAAGTCTCTTTATTTATTAGTGGTATGCAATGGAACTCATTTACTTGACTTTGTCTAATAATTCTGCAATTTGTCAGCACCCAGTGCACATGTGCTCAAGAGTTAAACAGCAGTTCTGAAATGCAAAATATTTTTACCCCATTGTATTTCATTGGATTACAAATTAATAATTATACACTATAATGTTATGAGGTACTTCTAAGTATTTTTCTCATCACAAACCGTAGTCTATTGTAAATATACGTTCATGTGTAGAGTTTACTGACGTCAAGCCATTATACTATCGAGGATATCTACAAATAACTCAATCGCACCTATCTAATCTTACTAAGTTTCACCTAAATAGTTATTCATAACGACGGCCACTAGATAATTTGAAATCATGTTTAGGCTTTTTGGTATTACGCTGCTGACGTTGAGCAGCATATTTTTTAAAAGTTCTTCAAAATGGGTCTATTGATGATGTGACAATTTCTGGCCTGATTATCATTTGTCAGTCTGGTTTTGTGGGTAAAAGCTTCAAAAATTATCGAAAAGAAGAACAATTTTTCTCTTAATTAAGTATTTCGGATCAAGTTGAATTAACCTCATATTTAGGAGATATATTTTTCGGATTTTCGTCTTTCGATATTTTTGTGTAAGGTGTTATATCCGCGGTCTTATTTAGACTTAATATTGTTTGTTATTCTTCTATCTGTTAAACTTTAATAAGAATGAAGCATAGAATATTGTGTGTGAGAAGAGGCTTTGCTCAGCAGTGGGCATTTATAGGCTGTTGATGATAGAATATTTTTTATCTATTCTAGTTTTCACATGAAAAGAAGAAGAGTTTTTCTCTTAATTGAGTATTTCGAAATCAAGTTGAATTATCCTCATATTTAAGAGACAGCCAAATATTATTAATGATGCAATAAATTTTGCTGTCTTCAGTTAATAAAGTGCCTATGAACATAAAATTCCCATAAATTATACTTAGGTCTTAATACTTCTTGATAAACTGATACTTGCAATCTTGTTACCTATCAGGTTATTTTAAGATTATTTGGTTAAATTAATTAGCGAAGTTTTAGTAAGAGATGATTTAAAAATTTTCTTACAAAATATTACTCGTGAATATATTCGGATACCCATACGATATTTAAATTCTAACATAACATATAATAAGGATTTATTCGTGTTACTATAATTCTTTTTTTTCTGGTATAGTTTAATGCATAAGACTACGACAGTAATAGAATTTTTTTTTTAAAACATACAAGTTCATATACACATGACACCCAGACCCGGAACAACAATCTGTGGATCACACAAAGAGTTGTTCCGTGCGGAAATCGAACCCGCGACAAATTACGCAGCAGCCGGTTGTCCAACCACCGCGCCAACAGTGCAGTCACTTGATTTCTTTTCACACAGATTGAATTTGCAAACGAGAATACATGTCCTAAAATTGGAGTTACGCAGCTCTTCCTGCTGCTGCTGTTGCTTATGTTGTACATCAAAGATAGGTCATCATCAGGTCATCATTTGTGACTTGTTTGATTTGCAATATTGCACATTGCACAATACAAATGGAAATGATGGCTTACTTCTGTTTTGTTGGTTTTGGCATAATAACACAAAGTTCCATTAGTATTGTTGATGTTGCTTTCGAGAACGAAACATCGATAGCATCAAAGGTAAAGGCGGATGGTTTCATTTACGTTTTGTATTGTGCATGTTTCGGTTGTCCTTTTCTAACATAGGAACGAGCATATTGTGAAACTCCATACCCATAATTTGCCAAAAAACTTCAATTTAAAAATTACTTTACCTTCTATATACATTATACACTCATTTAATGAAAATTAACCTTGCTGGATTAGGATTAAATGTAATATTGCTTGTATAAAGTACGTGTCGCTGTCACGTGTGAACAGCAATACA